TACATGCTAAAACAAAATTTCGCCATACATCCAAATCTGTTTTTGGCAAAATATCTGCAAGTGCAAAAATGGAGAAAAAAATTGTCCAATTTTTCCATTGCTCAGCGGTAAATCCTCCAAACGAGGATGCAATTTTTCTAGGAATTGCCCCTATGTTGCTTGCTGCATCAACAGAATCAACCTTTTCCTCAATCGAAACTAACTGATCTGAATGTAAAACTTTTAAATCAAGCCACATTTTCATCATTTTTTTAGCAGTTCCTTGAAATAAATTATGCATTGGATCAATAATGGACATTCTTATTGGGTTAAAATACTCAATTTCACTCAAAACTGAATATTTCACTCCATGAGAAGCTTCAAGTTTTTCTTTCTCTGTCTGAGTTCTGGCTTTTTTCACAGCTTTTGAAGATAAATCATAAGCATCAAGTGTTCTTGCAGACCAATTCTTTACATCAAAACCTGAATAATCTTTATTGCCTACATTACCTGGAAATTTTTTATAACATTTTGAGCAACCCAATGATGCAGAATGACCCAAAAATCCACATAATTTCCGTGTTGCTGGAATGTCACATCCAACACACATGAGTGCAACTTTAAAATTCTTTTTTACATATGAACTTTTACATGAAGCCAACTGAAATCCCTGTGACCATGCTACTTTAAGCTCATTAACAAGAGGTGTTATGAAACTATTTACAGAAGGTTCATGTTTTAAATCTGGAATAACACCTATCAACAATACATTCTTCAATTTAAATCTTTCATTTCTGGGCAAATTCAAAATAACTGCATACAAAACACCAACTGAATATTTAACATGTTTAAATGGCTGAAACCAGTCTAGATTCAACATTAAACCATAATTATTTCGATGGGTTAAAAAGCTATTTTTTTCTGAACTCTGAAACTCCTTCCAGACATTTCCATCATAAATATCTGTCAAAAACCCAGGAGACTGCTTCCTTGATCGCCAATGGTTACAAAGATCTTCAAACCCAGGCCTTTTAACTAAATCTTGCAAAGATTCTTGAATAGGTTTATAGCAGTAAGATTTAAAAGGGTAAAGTTTTTTTGTACCATCTAAAAGTGTTACAGATTTTAATAGTAATTCCCCACATGGTCTTCGCCTTGCTGGCTGTGTATGGTTAGGATATTCTACAAAAGGACATTTTGCAGACACAGTTTGACCCTCTAAATTCAATAAACAATCATTATAGAGGTAAATAGAAAAACTTTTTCTGCATACAACATACTTAGTAAAATTGTCTTTTTTCAAGCCTATTTTTTTCCATAACAAATAAACTGAACCTGGAAAAATCGTAGCTAAACTTGAAAATATGAGTGACTCTTTTCCAATTTGACAAAAGAATGTATGTAAAAATGAAAGAAGGCTGTTTATAACACAGTCTGGCAGCATGAAAATAGCTTGCCAGGTACATATGAACATACACAACCACATCAAAAGTGTCCCAAATTTTATGTTTGGGTTTGAAACATTCACATCATTGCTTTCAATTCTTCCACAAAGTTCATCTGTTTGAAGGTCTAAATCTAAATCCTCTAAACTTGCATTATTCCAGACCTCATCTTCACTCTCTGACTCAGTGTCACAATTATTTTTAGAAAAATGTTTCCTAACATATGATTGAAAAACATCATGTAGTCTATGAGAAGAAAGATTTTCATCTGATGAACTCGCAGATGATTCCTCTATAATCTCCTGAGATAAAGATTCAACATTTTCTAACCCAGACTTGGAACAATTCCACTGATTATTACTAAAAAAAATTTCTCTATGCTGCCTAAAATACCTAGATGTAAATGATTGTTTACATCCCGGACATTCTTTTCTTGACATTTTTTTTTCGTTGAGCTTGGTGAAAAACTGAAAGTTTTTGTTTCCCTGACATACTTATCAATATTTCCGTTCTAACTTTTATTTCAATTTCAAAAGTAGCAAAAAATACAATTCTGGTAACTCATTATTGAAAAAGCTTAAAAAAAGTAAATTACCAAAAAATATACAATTAACTCATGACTGAAAAAAGTACTGATAGCTCAAAAAGTCTTTTGAAATATACTGATAATCAATTAAACAACAATGATAAAAATCCTTTTAAACCTTGCAACAAAATTTACATTTCTTTTTACTTTTGATGAAATGAATACAGTGGCTTGTAAATCTTAGAAGCTTTTCCCTTTTGTGTCTTTCATCCTCCAACATTTTTCGTAATTTTACTGCTTCTCTGTTCCCATCCCCAAATAATTCTTTCGCAGTTTTATAGGAGGTCTTCTTTTCTACGAAGGTTTCATCTATATAGATGCAATCCTCCTTGCACTGTGCATCAATTTCGCTTTCTGCCTCCTCTAACCCAACTGAATATTCCTCCTCAGGTCGAACTTTCTCTACTGGAAAAATTAAATCATAAAACCCATGTTGAACAAATGAAATTTAACAAATGTATCACAAATGAAAATCATTTAAATTTAACAAGAGTATCAATACGTATCCTCTATCTTCAATAATTATTTTTCTATTTATGTGAGTGTACTTGTGTATGTATGTGTCAATGATGAGCAAGAAATCATACAACGACATACATCCACTTGACTTAATAAGAGCCTTAAATGAATTGTTCACTTTTCATTACAAGTCAGGTAATATTTACTGTTTTTTTGACTGAACATTTCAAATTCCTGAGAACTCTCATTCAACTGCCGGAGCCTTGCCTTTTCCATTCTGTGTTTTTTTCCTTTTTTCTTGCCTCTTCCTCCTCTTACTTTCTATTGAGTGTTTTCCCATTTCATCTATAATAATAATAATCATCATTATCATAATAAATACTAGATCATTTTAATGTCTCTTCATTTTTTTTCAATTACAGGGAAACAATGTATATTACGTATTTGTACAAACTTAAATCAAAAGTCTGAAAGTCTTCAATGACATTCAAAATGAAAAATGATTTTAAAGGTTCTTTAATTTGAATTAATTTAAATATAAAAATTAAACACTGTAAATCGAAGTATCACAATTATCGATGTGGTACATTATTCTGTGGTCCGAACTGAACACTGATCACATTAACCAGATTCTGACATGGAAGCTTGTTCATGTTGTTGGAATTAAATCAATTCATCTCTTCAGTCAGTTGAAGAGCAGAAAACAAAAGTAACCTTGGCATTTTACATTCAAAAACGGAATTAGAACGTGTTTTATTCAAATGTATAATTAGCAGCTGTGTTAACTAGTAGAAAAACCCCGATATTTTCGAATGTGTTTTCGTTTTCTGTCCCTATCAACTGTCCTTAGGAGCGAGTTTGGATTATTAATAGTCTGAAATGTGTATTGTAGAGGCTCCAAGGGGAAAATTTAAGCATTATGTCCTAGAAGAATCATTACTTGACAGATCCGAGGTGGTGAGTCAGTAAAATACGGGAAAATATAACGAAAACAGAGGCTGAAGCGAGGAAGGGGTCCAAAATGGCATCCTCCTGTGTTGCTTTAGTATTAATGTATATGATTTTTTTAAAATAAATAATTATTACACACCGGGAGCAAGTCCCTGTGAGTATACCACAAAACCCAGCAATGCATGGAGATCGACTGTTCTTTGTTTACGTAAATCTTTGATTGACACCATAAAAAAATCTTGTAAAATGTCTTATTCAAAATAAACTAAAAATTAATAGCATAAATCATTTGAAATAAACTTCCTTACTCAGTGCAAATATTTCTTTCAATGCTCCTTTCTTCTTTTTTTTCTGCCAGCTAACCAACTTTGGAGTGGTAACCTGGTATGGTAACCTGATGACCTGAAAAATGAAATAAATTGTCAAACTTAGTTACTGTATATTCATTAGCAGATGTAAACAGGAAAAAAGAGAAAATGTATGGTTGGACATGAAATTATTATTTACATTAACATGTTTCGTTCTTTTACCTTTTTCAACATTTTGTAATTTGAAATTTTAAACTTACTGTAAACAAATCGATGAATAATTTCTGTAATTCATAATCATGTACCTAAATACCAGTATTGAAACAACTCTTTCAAGCTCACGAGTCATGTTTCTTGTCGTGAACTTGTCAACCATGCACCATGCTTTTGTTTATACCACAACTTTTAGCGTATTCCGATCCCGATAAAATTTTGTAACTAATTATTTGGGGAGAAACGGCTTAAAGCAGGAATTTATCGGGGGAAAAAAGGAGGGCTTTTGCACATGGAAATGAGGTCGGAATTTGATTCTACATGGTATAGTGGAAAATCCTTGGATGATATATAATTTTTAATCATGCAGCACTCAAATATGACAATGGTTCTCCCTATATATATGTTAACATTAGATACATTGGTACAAATTAAACTACTTATAGTACATAAGAAACTGGCATGTTCTCTTACACAATTTCTTTACTTTTGTTTGTGATTAGATTGTACATGTAAAGATGGCGGTACCGCCAAATTAAGACCAAAACAGTCGATCGTAGGTAACACTTTGTAGATTCCGTAGTGATTGTAACAAAAGATACAGACAAATGACATCACAATGACATCATGCAAATTTGAATAGTGGAGTAATTTTTAAAACACCTACCTATATGTTATCTTCTGATAGGACTCTAATTTGACCAATTTCTTCTCACACGTGTTTACACCGGCTAGGAATAATGTTACTGCCGCGCAAACTGCTGCTGCTGATTGGATGAAAATGATGGCATTGATGCTGTTCATTTTCGTAATTTATATGAAAGTAAATAAAAAGGGAAAAACTTAAAGAAATTCAATAATTCAAACGAGGTTGAATATTTCGGTATTTTCTTGTTTAAAAAAAAAATGTTCAAATAGTTAAATAGACTTAGAAATACGGACTGCTTGTAAAGATGCGAAAATAACATCACAATTGGCGGAAAGTTCGATTTCTATCATCCCGCGCTGCCGCACACCTTAGAACAATTAACAGTGATTAAGTTTTCTACAATATCTACCATGTCCTCTGATGAAAATGTCTCTTACCTCGACTCGGAGGAAAGTTATCGTCCAAATGGGGATGAACAGAGCAGTGACGATGATTCGGATGTGCCTAGCACCTCGACTGGACGAAGAATTTCCAAAACTAAATCCAAAAACTCCAAGAGGAGATCATCTTCACCTTGTGTATTCACTTCTACTCCAAAAAACTACTCCAGCCATAGACTTAGCAGATCAGTAAGTATTTATATGCACATGCACTCTTGCCTTGATACAGTGATTTTTATTAATTTAATACCTAATAATTTATACTATTTGAGAAAAGAAGGGAAGGAGGGCTCAACCAGAGACCTATATTCTTAGTGTACAACTGTACACATAAATATATATGTAGGTCCCTTGCTGAACGTTTTAACCCCCCCCCCCCACCCACCCTTCTGCTTAATTAAACCTGTAGACACTATAAGACAAATAACTTTATTTCCTCCAGCTTCCAAGAATGCCATCATTTGAATCTTTACCCCAGGCTGGTCAGAGTTCAAGTCCAAAGTTCACTCCAGGTGAAGAGGTATGTGGAAATCAAAATTAGAACATTGCCTTTTTTTTCTTTTTTTTTTTAAACAGCAATTCGGTTATTGTTAAATATTCAGGTATTTAACTAGGATGAAACTTTATATAACAGATATATAAAGAACTTCATCAAGTCAGTAGAGTAGTTAAGTTAGTATTAGTAAAATGCAACTGATAGTGAGTGAATGCTATAATAATGTACTAATGTAAATTAAATTTCTTCATGTATCATATTTGTATTCAAATATATATATATATATATATATATATATATATATATATATATATATATATATATATATATATATATACTTATGTCTTACATATTCCTTGATTTCTTTCAATTTATTTTATTTAGGCTATTATGCAGTATTTAAAAACAATTGAAAACAAGATAGACACACTTCAAGGTGAAATGAAATCTCTGAGGGAAGAGGGAATCAAAGAAAAGGGGAAAAGGAGAGAAGAACAGCATCTTTATGTTCCTCCAAAAATTAGAGTATGTTTAAGTACATGTCTATTTTCAGTTTTAATCAACATTTTTCAAAAATTGAAAGCTGCTGATAATTTTTGAAAGCTACATTTACTAAAGATTACATCTAAAATACAAGGACCTTTTGCATTTTATATGTGAAGTCATTAGATCTTGTGGTGGCTCAATTTTTGTGAAATTTGTGGATACCTCTCATCCTCGAATTGACATCCTCAATGAATTAACAAATTAGGGTTACAAAGTCGTATTTCCTTTTGTGGGTTTAAGAGAATACACAAAATTACCTCCCGAAGAAGCTGCAAAATTTACGCAATCCCTGAAAAAATGGCCCCCACAAGTTTTAATTATTCCACAGTATTTCAAATTAATACTACACAACACTGATCATTGATCAGATATGTTTTTGAATATACATGTAATTGACCCTCTGTATGTCTGTGATGAATACAGCAGTTTGGGAAAAGGAAATTCTTTATTTACTCTATTACATGCATAATTTTCTTTATATTTTTAAAGTGTTATTTTCATTTTTCTTTTAAAAACATGTAATTATAGTATTTAACATCATAAGTACAGATAAATCAAGTCTCAACTGAGGAATGAAATCCAAGACCCTTGATTAACTTACTATGTTTGTGCTCTGCCAGTATTTACTTATCCTGGCAGTAACCATGTAGACCTTTGTTTTTAACTTTTTTTTTTTTTGTTTGATGATGCAGGTATTCGCACATTTCTTCTATGTGCAGTGTATATAAAATGTATTTTAATAAGTACATGATAAATAATTATCTTTTATGTAGACAGCCGTACATGATGCATACAAGCAACTTGTTGAAGAGGATGGCTATGCTGCTTGGCAGACCAAGCTTGGAGACGTTAAGCTGAAGTATCTGACTTTCAATTTTATCATTTGAAATTACTAAGCAACTTACCAAAGTAATTTTTTATGTTTATACATGATTATTTAAAACTGCTACTGAAGTGCTGCATCTAATTAAAATGTTTTGAAAAAAAAAAAAAAAAAAATTTAAAAAGCTTAAATTTAAGCATTTGAGACAATGTAAAATTGATAAACCCTCCCATTTTTAGAGTATCATCCGAAGTGAACAAGGCCACCACACAGGCTGTGAAACAGTTTGTAAAAGGGCTTTATCATGATGTGCAGGAGGGAATTTTACAGGGTAAGTTTCCTTAGACTTGGTGAATGCTTATTGCCCAGCTGTACACAACTTCTGGTAATGAGTTACCATTCTTTACATCCAACTCAAGCAGCAGTTAAAAGGCCTATGTCTTATTTAACTAGTGTCAGATGAGAGTTAATTTCACTTATTTTCATTTATTTTATTAAAATATTTGCTTATATAGTAATGTCCTTTACAATTATGGTAACTACTTGCACTTAACAAATTAGCTGACCTTTTCTGCTATTAAAGATCTAAACCAAAAGACACCCTTGATTTGACACAAAGGCACACCGATATCCCATGACCTACTAGTCCAGTTAATGAATGGTCCAGTTGTGTACAATGTTTGTACACTAGACTGATAGTTGTCATGTGGATAAAATCTTTCAAAAGTATCCTTAAACTTTTTACGAAATTTAGTTTTTATGGATAAACACATGATCATTGCTGTGTTAAGGAAAATCCCCCATCACTATTTTTAGATACAGCTGTAATAGACAAGTTCAAGTCAAAAGAGGTGACATGCTTCACAAATTGAAAAGAACATTAATTTATAAGCAAATATTTTAATAAAATAAGTGAAATCAACTCCCATATAATCTCCATGACTATATTCTTGTTCGTCCACTCCTTTCTGTGCCTAGCATAAAGAGTAAGGTGATCAATGCAATCATTGCATTTAATTGTAAAGATGCATCATTCATTAAAAATCACAACAAAACAATGCCTGCACTGATGAAAAAAATACGCCATTTTATTTTTATTTTCTTCAAAACAATAGCCAGGGAAAGTTATGACTTTGGAATATTAGTACATTTTACAATAATTATGAAATTGTTATTGCAGAAAGAGTAAAGTTATGATTAGGGCTTATATTTAATTGTTTTCATTAACAAAGCTATTATTAATTAATGATGTTAAAAATTAACCAATTTTATATATAGAATATACCCTATTTTGAGAGTTTCTTGTACCTTCCAATGTATGTATAATTGTTTTGTTTTATTGTGTGTGTGTGTGTGTTTTCTTCTTTTTTTTTTTACCATAGTTGCACTGAAAACTGAAAATTAATTGAAAGGCCTAAATGGTGCCTTACACTTGACCTTCTTTAACCAAAACTGATGTAATGTTTTTTTTCTGAAGGATGATCAATTAAGATCAAATGAGAAAAACAACCCCACCCTACCTAGATAAAAATATACAAAAAAATGACTTCAGGCTTTGTTTAAAAAAAATGTGTGTTTGGCATTCTCAAGATTCAGAATGAAAATTTTGGTTGGTAGGTAAGGATTATTTTTTTTGTTCATAGATTTTCAACATCAATGCTGAACTGTAAAAGTTTATTGAAAATGAATGTATTGATAAAAAAATGGTTGTTGAGTGTTGACGGGGATGAGAAAATTTTGGAATGAATAAAATATAATAGTTTCTTGGGGGATTTTAAAAATTTTCTGAGATTGGGCCATTTTCAGTCAGTCAGTCGGAAGAGTGCAAACACACAGTTTTGAAAGAGGCCTTACGGACAAGTGTTGAATGGCATGGTTAAGTGTACACACACTACAAATATAGAATCTTTCTGCATTTATGTAATGATTTATTTTTAGTGTCTTAGCTTATACTTTCATATACAAATTTATCTTGTTCTTATAGCTGCAGTAGCTAGATATTTTGAGTCTATGGCTCAAAAAGAACACAAGGAAAAAACGGGAAAAGTTGAGGACCACAAAAACAAAATGCTCCACTACAGCAGGAGGAAGAGGGTACATATCTTGTATTTACAGAATATTCTATGGAACGCCATAGCTGTCTTAAGGTATGATACATCATATTACATGGTGTGTTCTATATAATAAAGGGTTGATTCAATATATTAAATGGTCATCACTCCTTGTTAAAGGGTGAAGGGCACATAATACATGGTGCGTTCAATATAATAAATGGTCGGTTCATTATGTTAAATGGTCAACATTACTTGTTATAGGGTGAAACGTACCTAATAAATGGTGTGTTCAATATAATAAAGGGTGGGTTTATTAAGGTAAATGGTTACTGCCACTCATCATAGAGTGAAACGTACATAATACATGGTGCATTCAATAAAATAAAGGGTTGGTTCGTTGTGTTAAATGGTCACCACTACTTGTTAAAGGGTGAAACGTACATAATAAATGGTGCGTTCAATATACTAAAGGGTCGGTTTATTGTGTTAAATGGTCACCACTACTTGTTAAAGGGTGAAACGTACATAATACATGGTGCGTTCAATATAATAAAGGGTCGGTTTATTGTGTTAAATGGTCACCACTACTTATTATAGGGTAAAACGTACATAATACATGGTGCGTTCAATATAATAAAGGGTCGGTTCATTATGTTAAATGGTCACCACTACTTATTATAGGGTAAAACGTACATAATACATGGTGCGTTCAATATAATAAAGGGTCGGTTTATTGTGTTAAATGGTCACCACTACTTATTATAGGGTGAAAGTACATAATAACTGGCGTTTTCAATATAATAAAGGGTCGGTTTATTCTGTTAAATGGTCACCGCTACTTGTTATAGGGTGGAACAAAATAAATGGTTAGTATTGCATTACAAAAGATACGTCAAGTACATTACTTGGTGTGCAGCTAACAATATGTTGGCTTAAATGGTGTCTTTGGAAGGTTTAAAATGCCACACTCTTCTTTTGATATTCTTATTTTAATTTTGTGTGTCAGTATGTGTGTGTGTAGGGGGGGGGGGTTTACCCATACTTAAAGAATAAGGGGGGATACGCAAACTTGAAAAATCTAGTTTAGTAAGGGGGTTAGGTACGGTCTAGGTCAGATTATTTATTTTCGCCCAAGTGGGAGACAGATTGTTTATTTTCAACAATTTCATGGACAGATTATTTATTTCCAAAATCTTCCAGGCCTCCCCTACCTCAGAATCAGTCAAGTTTATCTGACACAATAAAATAAAATATCAATTAAGTATCGATGTAGGCCTGTGGTTCGAGGGGGAAGGGTGCACCGATTTGATATGAAAATTTTCATTCAAAGGCTGCTTGCCGCCCCCCCCCCCCCATATTTTTGTAGCAGCATGGTTGAAATGTGTCCCACTTTAATGCATTGATTTAAGACAATGTCGAAAAGTTATAGAAAGATACTACAACCAACCCCCAACCCCCAACCCCCCCCCCCAGTAGGTTTTTTTTTTAATTCTTGTCAATTTTTTTTATCCCCCGTTTAAAAATGTTGCTATGGGCCTATGTGGCAAATTAAAAGCGTTGTATACTGTATAGACACGACCCCTCCTCCAGTTTCCAAACAAGGGGGGGGGAATAATTTTTACGAAAGGATTGAGAGAGATGTGGTCTTTCTATAAACAATTTTTTTAACATAGAAAAATGATATTTTTACAGAGGAGGAAATATTATGTAATAAGTGACTGTGATGTTCCTTAGAAGATTACACATTACGTACGGCAAAAAGAAGATGACACTAAACTCTCCCTACCCTTCCATCAGCCGTTCTTTTTTATCAATCGTACTTGATAACGATATACATTTAAAGATACATGACATTTGTGTACTAAAGGCAAGTACCAAAAACGAGTACTGATTCACATCACATTTCTTATAGAATTAAACGAAAACACAGAAGAATATTATGGAAAGTAATTTGATTTTGTGTTGTTGGGGCTGGGAGATTCTAGATATAAATTATACTAGAATTCCCCCACTGCGAAGAAAAATAAATAAATGGACCTTGTTAGGTGGTACCACCCTGAAAATATAGAGTTTGGGTACCTCCCCGCAATAAAATATTTTTGGCATGTCAATCTTAATGAACATGAAGAGGAAAATTAAATCTGACCCAGATCACCTTTAAAATAAATTATCCGTCCTATACCGACATAAAAATAAATAATCTGACACTGAAAAATTTGCCAACGCCCCCCTCTCAGAATGAAATGGCCGATTCCTAAAATGTTCCGGGAAATATAGTTTTACGGTACGTTTCATTGTTAGTTCGCACAAGACCTCAATGTATATTCAAATTTGCATAAGAGGTCGCAGCGCCACCTTTCGTCCTAATTTGCTTAGAAAATTTGACTCGGATTACTCATTCTAACTTTCTTATTTTAACATTTTTACTATTACTTACTCTTAATTTCTAACTCCGCCTTTACACATTTTTTACTGAAATAAAGGAAGGTGTATATACTGAAATAAGATTTTGAAAGTTTCTTAAAGAATCAAGTGTCTTTGGAATATAATCTTTCAATTTCAGCCTCATAAAGTAAAAAATAAAAGCTGTACGGTTCTTTCGGTGACCAAGTAAATATTCAAATTTAGAAAGTCTGTAAAAAGGTCAAAATGAAATGAAAAATTGAATTGGAAAAACAAGATGTTAGAACTAAGATAATAAATAAATGAAATATTAAAATAAAATTGGAAAATCAATAAATTAAAGTAAGAATACTAAAAGAGAACTGTGCCACGGAAATCTCTCCATAAACACCAGTTAATTAAATCAACATAGCTAACTTTTAATGTGTGTTTTTTGAAACCATGTGAAATTAGCTGCACACTAATTATATGTACTTAACGCATTTTTTAAAACGTGTTAATTTCTATTTATTATGTACCTTTCACCCTATAACAAGTAGCGGTGACCATTTAATACAGTAAACCGACCCTTTATTATATTGAACACATCATTTATGTACCTTTCACTCTATAACAAAGAGTGGTGACCATTTAACATACTAAACCGACCCCTTGTTATGTAGAATACACTATTTCTTAGACACCCTTAACCGTATGACAAAGGATGGTGATCATATAACATAATGAACCGACCCTTTATTATATTAAACGCACCATCTATTATGTACGTTTCATCCTATAACAGGTAGCGGTGACCATTTAACATAATGAACCGACCCTTTATTATACTGAACGCACCATTTATTATGTACGTTTCACCCTTAAACAAGTAGCGTTGACCATTTAACATAATAAATCGACCCTTTGTTATATTGAATGCACCATTTATTATGTACGTTTCACCCTTTAACAAGTAGTGGTGACCATTTAACATAATGAACCGACCCTTTATTGTATTGAATGCACCATTTATTATGTACTTTCACCCTATAATAAGTAGTGGTGACCATTTAACACAATGAACCGACCCTTTATTGTATTGAATGCAAAATTTATTATGTACGTTTCACCCTATAATAAATAGTGGTGACCATTTAACATAATGAACCGACCCTTTATTATATTGAACGCACCATGTATTATGTACGTGTCACTCTATAACAAGTGGCGGTGACCATTTAACATGGTTAAATGATCCTTTATTATATTGAACGCACCATTTATACACCTTTCACCCTATAACAAGGGGTGATGACCATTTAACATACTAAACTGACCCTTTATTATATTGAACACACCATATATAATGTATTTTTCACCGTACAACAAGTAGTGATGACCATTTAACATAATGAACCGACCATTTATTATATTGAATGCACCATGTATTATGTGCTCTTAACCCTTTAACAAGGAGTGGTGACCATTTAATTTACTGATTCAACCCTTTATTATATAGAACACACCATGTAATATTATGTACCATACCTTAAGACAGCTATGGCGTTCCATAATATTCCATATGAATCTTCAACAAATTAAACAAATGATTACAAAACGAAATGGCTATATAATGTTTATGTATTTATGATTTATGTATGCTTATAGAAATTGCAGTGGAGAAAAACAATGGTGGAGAAAAAGACGGGTTGGGATGAGGCAAAAAAGCTGAAAGTATCTGATGCCCTTGAATTATCCTACATGTCATCAGAGGAGGAGCATAACTCTGATGACGAATGTTTCCTCAGAACAAAACCCCTTACTTGGAGATTAGAGGAATACCTCAAAATCCTCAATGAACTTGACATCAAATATGAAAGAACCATGTCGAAACGTTCTCGAAGACAGATGATGAAAAGTGTTAAAGGAGATGTTCCATCTGTAAGGCAAAAACCCACTCATGTTAAAAAGGAGCATGAGTGGGTGTTTGCTCATTGATTGTGTGGTCTCTGTGCATATATTGGCTTTATGTATTTTCATTTATCAATCTTCTTGAAATCAAAGTAATCAAATTAATTGCAATTATTTACTTTCTTTCTCTTCTCATATGATTTTATTAATTTGTTCATGCGATTCATTTTTTATTTTTAAAATTATTCACGTTATAATTAATATTACTTTTAAGTTTTATAAAATGATTGCCTTAAGGACGGAATATCTTCTTTAACCCTTTGTATCTACAGATTTTTTTGTAAGACTGCAATTTTGAAATATTTTGTGAAAATGTTTAATTTAATAGATCACCAAAAAAGGATAGTTTGGTTGTAACTTTTTTCTCTGTTTGATGAAAAAGGTAAAACATAGTAAACTGTAAAACCAGAAAAATTATTTGGTAAAAAGTTGCTATTTAGTATCTTTAAATATGTTTAACTCAATGGCTTCACTCAAAATATTTTTTTTCATTCATGATCAAGGAATGATATTTTGTTTTGTTGTTAATGTGAACCTCTTTGATTATTTCCCACTCACTAAAGAATTTTATGATGTTATGAATACACTTTTCCATTCAGAAGGATCATTTATCTGCTGTATATGGAATGTCATTGTATATCATGTTCATCTATTGCAGTTTGCAACTTGTGATTAATACTAATGCTACTAAATTATAAGAAAATTTAATTTTTTAAGGATCCTCTATACACTAATGAAAAATATCTTTTGGCCATTGAGAAAATTGAATCTTGTGTACAGTAAGAAAAAGTCTTGAGATTCATTTTCAACTCGGACGCATACACAAGCTACATGTATTTAATCCATGAAAAATGTTTCAAGACAACCATTTTTTAACGAATCAAAATCAATTTTGCTAACTTAAAATAGGAAAATGCATGCAAATTGAGTGATCAATAATTTCATCTTGGTCTTATAAATGTTAATGCTTGAATTGTTAAGAAATTGAGTAATAAGCTAAAAGACTTATTTTGGATCTAAGGGCAGATCTCTCTTACTGCATAAAATTACCATGGCATCAGAACTGTTGAGTGTGTTTTGTATTGATGGTCATCAGTTTATAGAACCAATTCACACAATTAATATAACACTCATGAAATATTTATGCTTTACTGCATCTAGGTAAAAGTAACCAATTAAATATATTCATAATACTGATTTGAAGTTTAAATGTTGAACACTGTATTAAATTGTTAATGTAGCAATACAAATCCACAATTTGATGTTGCTAATCAAAGTAAAAGATTTTGCCTGTATGTAACTTTTCATTTGTTCAGCATTAATAAATGATGTTAATCTCTGTGAACTCTGAATATCATTAGTGTCTTATTTGCCATTCACTTGCTCAGAGGAATGTACAAAGGATGAATATGATGTCTACCTTATTGAAAATGGGGATATGAGTACTTCATAATGGAATGGATTAAATCTTAAAAGTGAAATAATGCTGGATTTAGCATCACATGAAACTTCAAACAAAATCATAAACTTGAAGTAAAACAATATTAAATGTCATGAAAAAATGAAATAAAATATGTGTGTTTTATGGGAAATTCCACATAAAATCCTAAACTAGGTGTATAAAAGTATTAATTGTCATGAAAAAGTGAAATAAAATGATGGATTTATACGTGAAACTCCACATAACATATTAAGTTTGGTGTATAAAAAAATTATTTGTCATGAAAAAGTGAAATAAAATTAGTGGATTATATGTGATATTCCACATAAAATCCTAAACTTGGTGTATAAAAATATTAATTGTCATGAAAAAGTGAAAAAAAATTGAAAATTTATACATGAAACTCCACATAAAATATTAAGCTTGGTGTATAAAAAGATTTTTATGTGATCTATAATTAAGATTTAATTGGAGTTTAATTATCATTAAATTTAGGAGTTTACAAAAAATTTTACTCCGAGGTAAATTCCAATTAAATCTCAAATATAAATTTATATTAAATTCGTATTATGTGTTTAAATCTGATGTTTAATTGGGTTATAACTGGAACTTAATTAAGAATTAAACGCAACTTTTCGTGCAGTGACACATTGTTTAATATCTGCTGCTGCAATGCAAGAGTAGTTACATCTGTATTTATCCCACAACGAAGTGAGACCAACATGCAAGTGAATGGTAGAGAACGGTGCTGATGTTCTTCTGGTACGTAACCTTTCACTGGCACAAACATACATCTGACTGCAGCGAGTTCAAGTCAACAAAGTCAAAGCAATGTTGCGTATCTTAAACCTCACCCATTCAGCAGTTCAACTACATGCAAGGAAGTTCCTGGCCATGTAATTCAGATTGATGAGCCAGATGTTTTCCACCTAGAGTCCTCTACTACCTCGTTACCAAAGACTTCCTCTAGGAAACTGGACTTTGACCTATGAAACTCAGACCTTACTCCAGCTCATCAGAAGATTCCTTTGGACTACAAAAAGACAGGAACTCTTTTGCAACAGACTGAGGTGAACTTGGCAAACCGACTTACTACAAACATAAAATTTACACTGTGCCTGGTACTCACTGCTTGAAAAAACACCTTTACAAAACTTTACTTGCAAAGTAAATCTCATTAAAGGTGCTCCAAAAAGCAAGGTCATCTTTGTATCAACTTTACAAAAAGTAAAGGTGAAAAGGTAATCTTTATTTACACTAAAAGGTAATTAAATTTAACCTTTCACCTTTAATGCTGCATTAAAGTTGATATATATAGATAGACAGATAGATAGATAGATAGATAGATAGATAGATAGATAGATATGAAACTTTTTTAAATCCTTATTTAAATACTGGCTTTTTTGTTTAATACACTTGTACTTAAGATTTCAACAAATGGTTTTTAACTTTTAATAAATACATGTAGGTATCTGATGTGTCTATTGTGTTACCCCCACACCATTTTTGTTAAACTCGATCTTACTAAAAATACACAAATTTTCAAGCGTTATATCAATTTCCAGTTGTATTTAGTATTAGAGATTGTCATCTACAAAACATAAAAATTTATACTATTTTTGTATACTGTAGACGGACAATCAAAATGATTTGCTGATATCTGATAGATGGAGAGCTCTTTTTTATTTGCTTTTAGTGTAGATATATTGAAACCTTTTCTGTTATAATTTCTGCTTCATAAATATCTACCAAAAACAGTTACAAACATTACAAGATTAAATCTTTTACTAGAACAGGCAATAAAATGACAAATAATAAAATTAAAAAGGTTAAAATACAATACATTATATACCCTTTATGGTGCATGTACATGTGTTAAAACTTTGCAGTTTAAATGGAACTAAAAATGTCATACTCAGTTATTACTTAAGACCACTGATGAGAAACTACACAACATAAATCAGGCAAAGTACTAGTATTTCCAATTCAAACTATAAAAGGCTATCTAATGAGTATTTATGTACAGGTTAATAATGTTGACATCTTTTAAGCATAACGGTGCAATTTACATATTCACAAAATAAAGAAAAAAATGATGAAACACCTGTTAGAATAAAGGTTCAGATGTAGTTTTGCAAGATGCATAATGGTGCAATTTACATATTCACAAAATAAAGAAAAAAAATGCTGAAACACCTATTAGAATATAGGTTCAAATGTAGTTTTGCAAGATGCATAGGTAATTGCATGTGTCCAGCTTCACACAGTGAGCCTGTTTGGGCTTGACTTTATACTTCGGATTAAATGTTACATGTGTATTGTGTCTGTGGTAGGAGATTCTGTTTGCATTGTGTCCATCTTCATACACCTTGGAAAATATGTAACTGGTTGTGGTAGATGCTTGAGTGTTTGTGTATGTGTCCAGCTTCACATATTTTCATGTATGTGCTCGACTTCACACGCCTTGGAAAATATGTAACTGGTTATGGTAGATGCTTGTGTGTTTGCATATGTGTCCAGATTCACACATTTTCATGTACGTGCTCGACTTCACAAGCCTTGGAAAATATGTAATTGGTTGTGGTAGATGCTTGTGTGTTTGCATATGTGTCCAGCTTCACACATTTTCATGTATGTGCTCGACTTCACACGCCTTGGAAAATATGTAATTGGTTGTGGTAGATGCTTGTGTGTTTGCATATGTATCCAGATTCACACATTTTCATGTACGTGCTCGACTTCACAAGCCTTGGAAAATATGTAATTGGTTGTGGTAGAGGCTTGTGTGTTTGCATATGTGTCCAGCTTCACACATTTTCATGTATGTGCTCGACTTCACACGCCTTGGAAAATATGTAATTGGTTGTGGTAGACGCTTGTGTGTTTGCATGTGTCTCCAGCTTCACACATTTTCATGTATGTGCTCGACTTCACACGCCTTGGAAAATATGTAATTGGTTGTGGTAGACGCTTGTGTGTTTGCATATGTGTCCAGCTTCACACATTTTCATGTATGTGCTCGACTTCACACGCCTTGGAAAATATGTAATTGGTTGTGGTAGATGCTTGTGTGTTTGCATATGTGTCCAGCTTCACACATTTTCATGTATGTGCTCGACTTCACACGCCTTGGAAAATATGTAATTGGTTGTGGTAGATGCTTGTGTGTTTGCATATGTGTCCAGCTTCACACATTTTCATGTATGTGCTCGACTTCACAAGCCTTGGAAATATGTAATTGGTTGTGGTAGACGCTTGTGTGTTTGCATGTGTCTCCAGCTTCACACATTTTCATGTATGTGCTCGACTTCACACGCCTTGGAAATATGTAATTGGTTGTGGTAGATGCTTGTGTGTTTGCATATGTGTCCAGCTTCACACATTTTCATGTATGTGCTCGACTTCACACGCCTTGGAAAATATGTAACTGGTGTTGTGGTAGATGCTTGTGTGTTTGCATATGTGTCCAGCTTCACACATTTTCATGTGTGTGCTTGACTTCACACGCCCTGGAAAATATGTAACTGTGGTTGTGGTAAATGCTCGAGTGTATGCATATGTGTCATGCTTCAGAGAGAGAAGTTGTGTGCTCTTTTCTACAAGATAATGATTATTTAAATATACTCCGAATACATCTTTTAAAGAAATGGATAATCATAATGAGTTACATACTAAGTTCCTCAGTGCATAATATACACAATTTTACTGAAATTAAACTTGTGCAAAAACTCTCTTGCTGAATAACTTTCATTATTATAAATGCTTGAATGTTCATCTATAGATTTTCAGATATTTTCGAGTCAGTGTATATATTCTTGATCACAATGGTATCCATATTTGATTCCCCTCTCTGTCATCTTTTCTTGGTCACCAATTAATTCAACAGTAGGATGGGTACTCAGATCTCTCTGGTGTTGGACAAAAGGAGGTGCTAATAATAAACATAATCTTCGAAATTATAGATAATAACATCCATTTCTTTTCCAGGTTTGCATTAATTAGTTATCTTTTGAAATTAAAGCACATCTGCAATATCCTTGAAAATTTGCTAAGATACCTAAAATGTTTGTAGCATGCTTTAACTACTTTAATTTTATTTTTGGAAGTTTAGAATAATAGAAAAGTGAGTTCAAATATAAAAATAAGATGTAAAAGATCTTAATAATGAAGATTCATTTACACAATGTGATAAACATTTAAGTCAACTCCTCACCTGACTTGCTCGTAATTTATCTTCATAATGGAGTTGATTCTGTGATGATCACTTTCAATCATTTGAAAAAAACTTCTTCATCTCAAACTATCTGAAGGTCATTCATCTTCCCAACTGCCACTCACCCAAAGTGTACCGAGACCTCTGACCTGTATAATATCCAAATTCAAGATTAAAATAAAAAAAATCTCTTCACCATATTGGTCTCTTTAAAAAATGTGAGAAAATAATTTTAAATACTTTTCTAAAGATGGAATAATGTAGTGAGTATCTAACAATGTTTAAAAATATTTTGATCTCTCTACAGTGATAACATGAAAAAGTCATGTCCCTTATATTTGAAAAAAACTTCCATTCTTAAGGACATTACCCAACATGGAAATAATGTACATTTGTCTCTGGCACAACCAATCCACAAGAGACTTTTCCATACTTAGCACCATACATTAGCTCTCCACTCTTTGTTTCTACAAAAGATAAATTATGAAAACGTAATTTTTTGACAGCTAAGTCAGAATAATTATTTTCTAGCCAGTGATGAACAGAATATTTGATTTCCTTAAAAATCAGGGACAGATTATTCATGTTTATCTATAATGAACAAAGTTTGACAACAACAACAACAACAACAACCCCCCCCCCCCATTGCCACTACAAAAGGAAAAAAATAAACTGACTCAGAAACTTTTATTTCAGTGAGGAAAAGGCAATAATGGCATCAGACAAGGAAAGATTATTATTCATTTTTTCAGTTGAGATGAGATTATATCTTTTAAACATTTTTTTACATTTTTGAGGTTAATAAATCTTTAACCCCCCCCCTCCCCGCATCAAACAAAAAATAGTCGCCCCTTTATTTAGCTGTCCTAAATCTATAACAAAAGTTTTAGTATGATGATATTTTTTTCATTTTAATGTATTATATCCTGACACTGATACTCAGTGGTAGTAGATGCAACAAATTAAGAGGTGACCCCTCTTCTTCCCTCCCTCCCCTAGATGTTTCGTCTGAAATGTTAAACGACTCTTGTTCAATATCTTGAAAGACAGAAAACAGTTAAACACAACAAATAAGCACATTTTCATTACCTTGCAGTCAGTGTCGAGTGACACACGTAAACAACATTCCGCAATCTCTTTCAGTCTTTGTTTATTCTTGGCGGAATTTTGTGGCATTGTAGACTGGTTCCCATACATTGCAAGTGCCCTGAATAAGTCATACGCTTATTAGTTTTTGTTTATAAGAGGTAATATCAGTAATATGTCCCGTTCATTTGACAACCTTTACTTTAAAATACTGAATTATATATTATCATATTATACAGATGTTTCCACCTCAGTATTGTCACTATTGTGTAATCCTCTTCATCCAAGTCTTCTCGAATACAAAACGAACGATCTACTTTTAATAGTAACCCAAATATGGCACTGTGTATTCGGTTGAATAGCCAATCATTTCAAATTAAGTTGAGCGGGTCTCATCGGATTTTCTGGTATTTTTGACGAAAATATGCAACCAGTGATCAGTTGACTTGATACCTTTTCATCTACGGGTAGAATTAAGGAGGTTATTGCTTGGAAAACTGCTCGAGCTTCGGGGTTGGCATGCACTGCAGGTTTGTGTACGTTTTCCATCTGTTTTCAGCATACATTGTGGAACATTGAAACTGATGAAAGTCAGGAAAAACTACGCTAAATATGTATTTTAGATAAGTAACTTGATAAATTGGGGATGATGTTCCATTTTTTTCTATAAAGGATCATGGATTAAACAAGACCAAGAAAAACAATTCTAGGTCACAGTTTTAGAATGATTAGCAGTTTACATTAGTGCTAGAAAAAAAAAAATACAAGCCAGGGTAGGGGCAATGTTCTTAATAGAGGGCAAGTTAGTTTATATTTTATAGATATTATTTTGTATTCTAAACCATGTCCATTTTTCAAAAACAGGTACAGTGAAATCAATTATGCAGGTTCTTGAAGAGAGTCATGGATGACAACATGTATGATTTACCAGACCAAGGGATACCAATGTTTTTGACGGTACTTGTACGTATTAGTTTTTAAAAAAAATCAATAAATAGTATCATAAAAATGTTACTTAAACAATTATTTACATTATCAATTACTTGACTTGTTCGGGAGTCAGTATAATTATACATTTCTGTTTTCAAAAAATGTGTTATTACTTTTTCTAGGCTCCAGCTACTCAGCTTACTGTAAGAGAGTAAACACCTTATTGACAGATCTTTCATGAAGAAGAAACACTTGAGAAGGGTTCAATAGTTTAATTTTATAGATGGCAAGTATTGCTTGGACCTAAAGTATTCTTTAATTGTGAAGAAAACAAACATGAGGGTGTTCGGCAATTCATTACTATTGACTGTGATTGTATTGTGTATTTTTAAAATCATTCTTTGGTATGCTTCAAACTCAAATGTATTTATGAAAACATTGACCATATTTCTCCAGATGTATGAAATGTTTATCTAAGTATGAATTCCATTTTAGCATGTTATCTTCAAAATGAGGGACCTCTCAGATTTACAATTCCAAGATTAGGAAATAATTCATGAGCAGCAACATGGTACTGGGAGAAAGGTACATATATCGTAAACCATAACTTGAGTATCATACTATAGCTTGATAAGCAGCAACTATTGGTCCTTTTGTTACCTGATTACTAAGAAGGAAAATGGAGTTAATTATATGTGTTCAGTAATTATGCATAGATACTGATGCCAGTACTTTTTCACAAATTATCTTGCAAGTAAGACAACCATTTTCCAATTCTGCAAAAGTATTTAAGGTACAGAAGGTCACGAAAAATCTTATATTACTCCTACATTAGTATATTTTGTAAATAATCCTTTCAAAAGAAAAATTAGGTAATGATAAACAAAGAAATTACAGTTATTAAATTTTAATCTTAGGGGTAAGATAAGGGCTAGTGGCCCAGTCCATTTACATCATAAAATAAGTTAATAACAACATGTTCATCTGTTTGTATCTGTCTTATTTAATAAGATTAACATTGTCTTTCTGATAAAAATAAAGGCTGACATTAATGGTTCAAAATATTTTCTTTTTGAGGTTAAAGGTCATGTATGAAATTTTTATCTATTAATATGGTTGCATCTTGTTTCAATTTTAATTAGTCATGATACTGTGAATACTGATATCACAGTTTATTTGAATTGATAACACAGATGCCTATGAAAATATTCATATTCATGTCACTGAAAATATATATTTTTTTTTCTTTTAAGGAAAATAGTAGAAGACTGCCTGCATGAGAATAAAAGTTTTGGGACTCTGAAAAGGAAGATGTGACAAAATATATATTTGGACAGTTGTTGATTTCCACAGAAACACATGTCCAGTAACAAGAAAGTGGAGCACAGTTTCATGTTAGTTCAAATCTTTAAATTCAAGGATGAACAATTGGTTCTTTATAAAACAAAATGACATATTTGAAAAGGATTTTGGTGAAATGTACTCTGTCCTGGATACTTATTTATGTGTATGGGATTTGCAGGATAGACTATGAACAACAGATACTGTCACGAAATTTGATGTTTTTGATTATATGTTTGTATAAAAATGTTTGGTATAGTAATAAACAAAGTTTAATTCAATCTGTTGTTACTTAGTATATTAAGGAAGGAAAAGCTTATTTATCATATGCACAAGCTTTATTCAGAAGAATGGAAAACAGTAATTATTAACTTTTGTGGCTATTAAAGATGGTATTTAATTAAATTTAATATTTGTAATTATCAGATTTAATGTACCCAAAATACTGTGTTTAATGTTTGTAAATATTAACTTTACTTTATTGTAAAGTCAAGAAAAAGTGGGACATTACATCATATTTAAGTGCATGTAAAGTTAATGTAAAGGTTACCTTTTCCAACTTTGACTTTTTTCAGAAAAGCCAATTAAAGGCATTGTAAATATTAAATTTACATTATCTTTACTTGTTTTGTAAAGCCAAATTTTCATGCAGTGACTCGTCCTGTCCACTTACCTCATTACCAAACAACGCCTTAAAGAAATCGACAGACAAGTACAAGAGCTTTTAGAAAATGACATCATAGAACTTTCTAATTTCGAATGACACTCCTTGTGAAAAATCCAACAGGTAAATTTTGACATTGTCCAAAAACCTGGAAAAAAATATGTTGCTGATGCCCATAGCCGCATTCATAGTTCTTCTACAAACACCTGAGCCAATGGTCTCTTTCCAACATCCCTCAGAGCCCTTGTCACATCATCCTGTCTCACTTCTACAGAAAAATGATGTAAAGAAAGGATTTCGAGTTATGTTCTATGATGTACCAGAAACCTTCATCATGGCCATAGAGGATGACAAAATATACCAAATATTACAAAACAAAGACACTTAATTTTGTCTACAATCCGTATGCCCTGAATATGCTAACACATAGAAATATCTTACTGATGGCTCCTTACCGGAAGATCGCAAACTCGGGGATAACGTTTTCTCTGAATCAAATCACTAAGGCATCATGTATCAGTTTATCTATAAGCTAGCTCCTGCGCGAGACCTTCGGAAAAACGCACTATCTGCCTACATTGACAGCCTTGCAGGAGGTGGACACCTTGGCATGGACAACGTGCGCATCTCCGTAGTGCAGAAATACGACTGGTCAAGGATGAATCAGGATATCATACTATATCGGCGCACCTGTGAGAGATGCCAACGTGCACAGCGAGATTTTCATCCATCCAAACCTCCCATGACTTCCATGCCATGTTGCGACAAGTTTGAATCTTGGCAAATATACATTTTAGGCCCACAAAAGAAAACACGAGTACATAACATACTACTTTGTATTGATTCCTTCACTCGGTGGCCTGAAGCCTTTGCCCTGAAGTCTTAACATGCTAGAGAAGTTTCCTCTCTTGTTTCTTGAGAAGAGAAGTTTTAAATGACCAATCAATTTTTAGCTCTTCTGAGCCAAAGGCTCAAAGAGCTAATGCTATGGCCATTTGTGCGGTGTGTGGTGTGCGTAAACTTTTTAGAATATGGGCCATAACTCAAGAACCCCAATTATTGTCAAATTTGTCACAGGGTATCCTTGGCCCAAGGGCTCCCGTTTATACTAACAGTAGGGTTGTGACCCTTTAACAAGGGGAGATAATTAGGAAAATAGAAACAAAAGTACTGGTTGCTAAAAAATCTTCTTCTGAAGAACCACTGGGCAGATTATCACCAAACATACACAAAAGGATGAGGATATGCTGTAAATTAAAATTTGTTCAAGGCATCACCCTGGGGCAAAGGGCGTGGTCTCAAGGTCACTTCAAAGTTGACCAAAAATTACAATTTATTAAAATGTTGATATTTTGCTTACTATAAGGACTAGGATCATCAAATCTTGTCAGTTGATACATCTAAGGACTCATATTATGTTGACTCAAAAGTAGGTTACGGTGACCTACTTCTTAAATTTTGCGGCCATTTTTTTTTCAAAATGATTAAGAGGCATATTTTGAACAATTAAAGGCCTATGATCATCAAACTTTGTCAGTTGATGCATCTTGGGTCCTCGAAGTACATCATCTAAAAAGTAGGTCACCTTGACCTACTTTTTGAATTTCATGGCTAATCTTTTTCAAAACAATTAGGGTCATTTATTCGAATACCGAGAGGTTTAGAATCATTCAATCTTGTAAGATGATGCATCTTGGGGCCATAAAACATATTTATTAAAAAGTAGGTTACAGTGACCTACTTTTTTTTTATCTTTGTAGGCATTCGATTTCAAAAGTGTTTTAGAGGCATAATTTGGACATTTTAGAGCCTATGATCATAAAACTTTGTAAGTTGATGCATCTAGGGTCCTTAAAAACGTCAATTGACCAAAGGGAGTCTGTGCCAACTCTGTCCAGCAATGTGCAAAGACATAAAGTTCATTTTATTTGTCAGTGAGAATAAATATATATAAATGATGGTTAGAAGTAAGAGATCGGAAAATTAATGCGCCCAGGTTTTTTTTTTTTTTAATATTTCAACTAGCAGAGTGCTGGGGGTTGTTTAAATTGTTGTTCGAATGTGTGGACTTTTAGTATTGTGTTCTCTCATTTAACATCTGCTCAATGTCCCTGAGTGCCCTCTACTGGTGGCGTCTAAATATAAACAAGAAACATATCGACACA